ATTTATAGACATTGTTGTTGTTGTTTCTTATCCCCTTGTGTAAAGATTACACAAATTCCATGAGACACGGAAAGGAATGTAGGGGCACATCTTTCATTGATCATGGTACCATGATCCAGGCACACTTTGGTAAAGTCTGACTTTGCCTGTAATTTGAGGTAAAGGCTTCCATGTTAGGAACAGCCTCAAATTACAGGGAAAGACAGACCAGTTTTCACTAAAGTGTGCCATGATCAAAGAAAGCTGTGCCTCATTCCATGAGATCAGCTTGAGAAGATGTCTGCACTCATATTAGAGTCGGCAGCAAAGTTATCTGCTTTCATGTTAGGAACAGCCTCAAATTACAGTCAGATTTTCACCAAAGTATGCCATGGTACAGCTGCACCCCTACACCCCATTCCATGAGATCAGCTCGAGGAGCTATGTCTGTACTCATATTAGAGTCTGCAGCAAAGTTGTCTTCTTCCATGTTAGGAACGGCCTCAAATTACAGTCAAAGACAGACCAGTTTTCACCAAAGTATGCCATGGTACCATGATCAACGAAAGCTTCACCCCTACATCCCATTCCATGAGATCAGCTCGAGGAGCTATGTCTATACTCATATTAGAGTCTGCAGCAAAGTTGTCTGCTTCCATGATTGGAGGGGCCTCAAATTACAGACAAAGTCAGACCAGTTTCACCAAAGTGTGCCATGGTGCCATGATCAATGAAAGCTGCACCTCTATATCCCATTCCATGAGATCAGCTCGAGGAGCTATGTCTGTACTCAGAGTTGGCAACAAAGGCTTCCATTTCACCAAAGTGTGCCATAATCAAGGAAAGCTGCATCCCATTCTATGAGAGAATAGAAAATGTTCTACCCAAGTTACAACAAGGAACATATATCAGGATATCAACTCACCAGTAAAATACTCTATGAACTCCTGTTCCAACTTGAGCGAACGTTCGTAGGTCTTCCTAGCCTGGTCCTCAGTGATGCGTTTGTTCATGTCCCTGGTGGTCACACAGTAAGTTCCTGTCACATTCAGTCAGCTAGGTTACTTACATGATGGCCTCCACAGACTTGGGTTTGATGAAGATGGCGATGGGATGGAGTCCTGCCACCTGCAGTCGTTTGATGGCGTTGCCACTGACGTCCAGGATGCAGTGTTTGCCTTGCTACACACCCATTACAATCTCACTGATGGGGAACACTAGCACTCGCTGGCAGTTCATTTTACCACTATTAGACACTCTCCGGTAAGAGGACACCTCTCTCTAAAGGACACTTTGGCTCTGCAATTAAGTGTTGTACTTTACAGGGAGGTTCTACTGTATTTAGTAACTCTCCGGTAAGAGAACACCTCTCTCTAAAGGACACTTTGTCTCTGCAATTAGGTGTCCTTTACAGAGAGGTAGTTCTACTGTATTTAACAACTCTTCAGTAAGAGGACACCTCTCCCTAAAGGACACTTTGTCTCTGCAATTAGATGTTGTCCTTTACAGAGAGGTAGTTCTACTGTATTCAGCAACTCTCCAGTAAGAGGACACCTCTCCCTAAAGAACACTTTGGCTCTGTAACTAGGTGTTGTCATTTACAGAGAGGTAATTCTGCTGTATTTAGTAACTCTCCAGTAAGAGAACACCTCTCTCTAAAGAACACTTTGGCTCTGTAACTAGGTGTTGTCATTTACAGAGAGGTAATTCTGCTGTATTTAGTAACTCTCCGGTAAGAGGCCACCTCTCCCTAAAGAACACTTTGGCTCTGTAACTAGGTGTTGCCTTTTACAGAGAGGTAGTTCTACTGTATTTAGTAACTCTCCAGTAAGAGGACACCGCTCTCTAAAGAACACTTTGGCTCTGTAATTAGGTGTTTTCATTTACAGAGAGGTAATTCTGCTGTATTTAGTAACTCTCCAGTAAGAGGACACCTCTCCCTAAAGAACACTTTGGCTCTGTAACTAGGTGTTTTCATTTACAGAGAGGTAATTCTGCTGTATTTAGTAACTCTCCAGTAAGAGGACACCTCTCCCTAAAGAACACTTTGGCTCTGTAACTAGGTGTTGTCTTTTACAGAGAGGTAGTTCTACTGTATTCAGCAACTCTCCAGTAAGAAGACACCTCTCCCTAAAGGACACTTTGTCTCTGCAATTAGATGTTGTCCTTTACAGAGAGGTAGTTCTACTGTATTCAGCAACTCTCCAGTAAGAGGACACCTCTCCCTAAAGAACACTTTGTCTCTGCAATTAGATGTTGTCCTTTACAGAGAGGTAGTTCTACTGCATTTAGTAAGTCTCCAGTAAGAGGACACCGCTCTCTAAAGAACACTTTGGCTCTGTAACTAGGTGTTTTCATTTACAGAGAGGTATTTCTGCTGTATTTAGTAACTCTCCAGTAAGAGGACACCTCTCCCTAAAGAACACTTTGGCTCTGTAACTAGGTGTTTTCATTTACAGAGAGGTAATTCTGCTGTATTTAGTAACTCTCCAGTAAGAGGACACCTCTCCCTAAAGAACACTTTGGCTCTGTAACTAGGTGTTGTCTTTTACAGAGAGGTAGTTCTACTGTAACGGGGGATTATTTAATTGAATTGTCAACTGATGATAAGTTGAACAGTCAAAAAAGTTACCTTCTCAGCCACCTCCCTGACCGAAGCAGCAGAGGTGCCGTAGAGGTTGTCGTTGTACTGGCCGGCCTCAATGAAGAGATGGTTCTGGATGTCTCGCTCCATTTGTTCCCGGGAAGCCACAAAATGGTAGTCCCTGCCGTCCACCTCGTACTCCCGCTTAGGCCTGGTAGTGTCTGTGCACAACAATATTTTATAAATAGATCAAAACAATGAGTTTTTTGTTAAATTTTATTAAAGTTTAAGTTGTTCCTCCATCTAGCCTGATAAAAAAAAAAGGATTTCTTGTACGGTTTCACTATAATATTCCCAGGTAATAACACAAAATTCAAATAAATAAATAGTGTGTGATGTTTCAGTAACAGTGTTGTTACCATCATCAGACAAAAGACTGAATGAGAAAAAATATCACAGCATGTTCTTAAATAGTTACTGTTATCAAGTGTGTAAACAAGATAACAGATAAAAAAAAATGGTTTTCTTTTTTTTTTGCTTATCCCTAGTACACGTGGTACAGGCCATGATAATCATGGTGGGTAGTTAGCGACTGCTTTTTACTGTAAGCGTACCACATGTCTACACATGTGAAAGCAGTTCGACTTTGCACTTACAAATGTGCCAGAGCCCCGTTTGGTTACTTGCACTCGCTGGTGGGGTTGGACTTTTGCAAGAATTTTTTTTTTTAAACAGAAAAAAGTGTCCAATGCGGGGATCGAACCCGGGTCGTAGTGGTCGTAAACCAAACGGTTTAACCAGCCTTCCACCGACCCCCCAAATGGTTTTCTAAGAGAGAGAAACATGCTGTAATATTTTTTCCTCATTTATTCTTTTGTCTGATGATGGTAACAAAGCTGCTACAGAAATGTCACACACTCTCTTCTTCTTTCTTATCTCCACTCAATTATATCAGGGTATCAAGTTTGTAGAGCTTGTTGATGGATTCTGCTGGGGAAGAGTAGAGCTCATCAATAGATGAGTCAATACAGTCAATAATGTGTTTTACAGGTTGAGTATTGCTGTATATTGTTGAGTATATATAATTGACAACCATCATGACTGTGTGAAGTAGAATACATCTGTCACTAAGACTGGGAGCTCTACTCAGTAGCAGGCCAATGACATAGCTCCAATATGAAATGGTGACAAGAGGAACAGACATCATGTACAGCTAACATGGAGTACATCCTGTATCCCTGGAGACCTTACAGGGTACTATCAGCAAGGCCAGCTGAGCCCAGGTGTTTTAGTGAGCTTGTTACTGCTCCCCCTCCTCATTTTTCATCCGGACTTGGGACCAGCAAAGGCGGAGTATATATTTACCTTGTATTAATCTATAAATCCAAATTGAAAGCCTTATCATGATAATTGAAGATATTTCAGCATAAATTTTTACAACTCGGTTGTGTCACCAATATAAAACTACTACTACAGATTGGGCTATAGTTCAATACAGTTACTCACGGGGGACACAGCTGCCAAACTTGTCAGGAAACTCTGCTATCAGGTCATCATTGATGCGGTCTTTGAGTGGCCCCAGGATTATCACAGGCCTGGCATAGTTGACTGGAACACACACACTAACATGTAACAAGGTTGTTTTATTTAATCATCCCTAGTACACGTGGTACAGGCCATGATAATCATGGTGGGTAGAAGTTGGTGACTGCTTTTACTGTAAGTACACCACATGTCTACACATGTGAAAAGCAGTTTGATTCCATGTGATCTCATTGAATGGGATGTAAGGGTGCAGCTTTCGATGCTCATGGCACACTTTGGTGAAACTGGTCTGACTGTAATTTGAGGCCTAACATGGAAGCTGCCAACATGAGTACAGTATCCCTGGACTGAGGTCTATCAACAGTTGAACTCTGGATTTATAAAGAGTTCTTTCTCCTCTTCTAACAATGCTGCTGTTGGTCTGCGACTGCTTATTGGTCAGAGTTGTTTGTTTCACAGCTGTTCATATCTGAAGGTTGTTCCCCTATCTGGGGACTTTAGCAGTCAGCTCTGCTGAGGGACCAGTCAGTATGGTAAAAGGAGTTTGGCAGCAAGGAGTCCTGAAGGTCAGAGAAGGCAAGATTGATGACTGCTCAGTGTAAGTAGAGACAGGAATGAGATATGTGGATTATCCATAGACAGGGCCAAGGGAGCCAACACGACCAGGAAAAAGTCGTCAAGTTTACAAAGAAGGATCCTTATGGTCGCCAACAATGGAGGCAAGTCTATCTAATTCTTAATATACCACTAGCAGCTACTTGTTGTAGTTATTCAATTGATTAAAATCTCCTGGACATTAATAAAACATAAAAGTGTCCAGGGATGGGAATCGAACCCACAGTGTTCTGCTTACCGGGCAGATGCCATGTCTATTTACGAACGGAAAAATATGTCCAGGGTAGCCTAGTGGATATGACATCTTTATTACTGGGCGGTAAGCGGAACAGTGTGGGTTCGATTCCCATCCCTGGACACTTTTATTTTTCCGTTTATCATTACTCTTCACAATTCATCCTTTCATACTTCATCCCTAAGGTTAGAAATAATGGTTAGTTCTCCTTGAAATAAATTTTGATTTATCGTTGAAAAGAAACACATGCGGGATAATTGTCAAATGTTGTTTTACAATATCACAAGCCACATTATATTGGAATTAATTAAACAATTAAAGTTTCCCGAGATGAGTTTCTTTTTATTTTAAAACCGTCTCAAGCATTCAGGAATCTCTGCGTTTCTACAAGGGAACATAAATGGGAGAATAAAACGTCGCCTGATACCAAACTTTTGTCTTTTATAGAGAGGTGTCCACTAGCGTGAGCATCCTCTCATGGAGGACTGTATATGGCACAAATAAATATAACTCCTATTTTTCACAATCCATTAAGATGAAACACTATCTTCTTGGTTCTTGGTGGGGTTGGACTTTTGCAAGAATCGGGGGGCCATTGGAGCATTTTTTTTTTTTTTTAAACAGAAAAAAAGTGTCCGCATTGGACACTTTTTTTCTGTTTAAAAAAAAAAAAAATGCTCCAATGACCCCCGATTCTTGCAAAAGTCCAACCCCACCACCGAGTGCAAGTAGCCAAACGGGGCTCTGGCACATTTGTAAGTGCAAAGTCGAACTGCTTTCACGTGCGTAGACATGTGGTGCGCTTACAGTAAAAAGCAGTCGCTAACTACCCACCATGATTATCATGGCCTGTACCACGTGTACTAGGGATAAGCAAAAAAAAAAAAAACTATCTTCTTATATATAAAAGTCAATGTCTGTTTCGCGATAAACTCAAAAACTACTGAACCAATTGGTACCAATTTTATGCATGTCGCTTTTTATAAACCCGAGGAAAATTTTCGGCTACATTTTGATTAGTATTTTTGGCTATTTTTTTAATTTTTTTTTTTCATTTGAAGAACTTTTTTTTACGTGGAGTAAATACGAGGCGAAGTAACAACACCAGGCCAATTAAGTGACCAATGAGCATTCTGCTTTTTTTTTTCCAAGTTGCTTGCGTACTTTTTTTAAATATCTTTTTATACGAGTGTTACTTTTTTTTTTACAAAAGTTTTGAGTATTGAGAGAGAAATTTATATTACTTACTTACGGTAAGTGCACACAATGCAATTTAAAAAAACTTTACAAAATTAGCGTTACTGTACGTAAATAATGACTTTTGTATTTTTTATTAATTTTTGTTCTGGCCTTTGTTTTTTTTTTCTCTCTTTTTAAAAAAAAAAATGTTTAAAATGCAGTCGCAGTCATTAGCAAACACATATGTTTGCCAAATTTCCACGTGCTCTTTTATTTTTTTACAGAAAAATATTTACATGCCAGTATTTTGGATTACTTTTTTTTTTAAAACATTTTTTTTCTTATTCTTACTGAGAAGATGGGCATCGCAGTCAAGATCCATCGCAGTCACTCACTCAACTCAGGCAATTTCAAGGGTTAATGCGCTGGGGCGGGTACCTCGGGGTTTGAGTGGAAAAGCTGCCATCTATTTAAACTATATTGATTTTGAAACAACTAGATGGATTGCAAAAAATAATTAAATCAAATACCTAAACACTAATATAATACAATTTTGCTATCACACACATTTTTTTCCTGTAGTTTATGTGTTACTTCTGTATTGCTATTCTATGGCACTTCTATTATTTATTATTGAGGTACTTTCAGTATAAAGGAAATTGCACTCAGGGGAATTCTTGGGCGAAGCTGAGTCATTTGTCTAGTATACTCTACTATGAAAGAGTACATATACTGTACTTACTTTCTAGCTGGGAGACCACTTCGTAAGAGAGAATAGGTTCCTCTCCCCCTCCTGGAAGACCACATACACAGGATGAGCCAGACAGACAGACAGAGAGACAGGAGAGAATCACTCACGTATACTGCCGGCTTCACTGTCACTTGTGTTTGTCAGAGGGAGATCTGGGCCACAAACACACATATATACTCAACAGTTATAACAAAACTTCTTCATTATTATTTCTCAAGTAAAAGACCTACACCTTTTTCTAAACAGGACGTTCATGGCTCGTAGGGAGAAAGCGGTTTGCAATTTTGCATGCCATCCTTGGGCAGGAGACCATGCTAATCTTCTCTATATATTGATAGAATGCGCTGGTGATTCTCCACCATACTCTGCAACGGAGGTAAAGGCGCCATATTCATTGTACATAGTATCATGTATATAATTATCTTCTTAAGACTGTGTACTTTTGCCTGTATTGACAAGATGTCAATAAAATTATGTTAAATATCAATTGTCTATCCAGAAAATGAAAACATTAAGAATCAAATATTTATTTCACACATAAATCAAATTTCTACTGTCCTTACTGCAATGAAAAAATATTGGGAGGGTTTGGCTCATCAGTGGTGAACCCTCCCAGTGGTTTATAGACAGTGTTGTTGTTGTTTCTTATCCCCATGTGTAAAGATTACACCAATTCCATGAGTCCATGTTCCTCCAGCTGTTTATAGACAGTGTTGTTGTTGTTTCTTATCCCCATGTGTAAAGATTACACCAATTCCATGAGTCCATGTTCCTCCAGCTGTTTATAGACAGTGTTGTTGTTGTTTCTTATCCCCTTGTGTAAAGATTACACAAATTTCATGAGTTCATGCTCCTCCAGCTGTTTATAGATTATGTTGTTGTTGTTTCTTATCCCCTTGTGTAGAGATTACACAAATTCCATGAGTCCATGCTCCTCCAGCTGTTTTATGATAAGCAGCAGCCTCTCCCAAAGGTCCTGTTTAGTACATCTAATACAAGCCAAAATGTGTTCTGTAGCTGCAGGTGCCAAGCTACATTTTGGGCAAGTGGGGTAGATTTTGTTATTTTCTATCTTCAATGGCTTGAGATGGCCTGTTCTAAATCTTGTTAGTGTTGTTTGATGCTGTCTGAGGTTCAGAGCTCCTCCTGGGTTCACTCCACTGTACCAACTGTGCTTAGGTGGGATCTTCTAGTTCTTGTTTATTTTTTGTTTTGGATACTGTCTCTATTTCTCTGTGGCAAGGGTTTTCTTTATGCCTTTTTTCGCTAACGAATCAGCAGCTTCATTTCCTTCAATGCTAACATGTCTTCTTCTTCTTTCTTATCTCCACTCAATCATATTAGGGTATCAAGTTGTAACCTTTGATGGTGTCTGTTTGACAACCACTGGGTGAAGTAGAATGCGTCTGCTTTGTCATTAAGACTGGGAGTACTACTCAGTAGCAGGCCACTGACTTAGCTCCAAAAGAAATGGCCGCCTCTGACATGAGGAACAGACACCATGTACAGCCACTCCTAACATGGAGTACATCCTGTATACCTGGAGACCTTACAGGGTACTATCAGCATGGCCAGCAGAGCCCAGGTTTTTCAGTGAGCTTGTTACTGCTCCCCCTCCTCTGACATGAGGAACAGACACCATATACAGCCACTCCTAACATGGAGTACATCCTGTATCCCTGGAGTCCTTACTGGGTACTATCAGCCTTGGGACCGGTAAATGCATACATATGAGGGTATTCATTGAAGATGAATTTTCGAGAGTTTTTGGAGATGACCAATTAACAGTACTTACCTCTGGTGGGCGAGATGTCCCCTGTAACAAGAACCAAGGTTGTCAGTACCAGCAAGAACAACACAAACATGGAGAGGTAAAACTTACTCTCACAATCGCTATCTTCTGTACTGTTGTCTTTGCTCTTCATGAAAGGGAATTTACGGGAAAATGAGAAGTTCTTTTTCTTTCTATCTAGTGTATTCTGTACACCCAGACACCATTGCTACATCATCCAATGCAACAACAACAAAAAAGTGTGTTTGATAAAGCACAATTTGGATTATTATTTTATTTTTTTGCTTATTTTTTTCTAAGAAAATATAAACTTTAAAACGATCTCTGATAAATTATTTTATCTTTCATTTTAAAAAGAAAATAAAACTTTTTAAAATACATCAATACCTCACTTTGCGGCATTTCGTTTTGCGTTTTTTTCCGAAGTTGGTCGCTGCTTAATTTTTACTGATTTTCACTGTGCGTCGTTAGATTTTCGAAGTTGCGTTGTTTTGGATTCGAGTCTTTAATTTTTTTTTGTTTTTTTTTTTCCCTAAAATATGGCAACACCTTTGTTTTTGATTGCGCCTTCACATATTTTTTACTTTGCGTCGTTTCAATTTGCGTCGTGTTTTTTTTGGAACGTAACCTCGAGGCAAAGCGAGGTATGGGTGTATGTGTAATATTCCAACAAATACCATTAAGTAACTCTTTTATAAGTAACATAGATGAAGAAGGGATTTCATGACAAAATGATATCATAGGAACGAATATAAACTCTTTCTCAATAGAATATATTCTAAAGTGAGAAAAACAGTACAAAAGTGAATTTGTACTTGGAACAGGTAGATATATTAAGAAAAAAGGGGCATTTCCTGATTGTGTAACTGAAAGTTGGTATTTGGTCAATTCTGGAATAATTAAAAATCAACGAGAATAGTTGATATTTATTCCAATAGATGGCGCAAGCCATCAGCAACTTTTAGTTGCACGATCAGGAAATGCCTTTTTTTAAAGAGTTGATAAGGCACAATTTGGATTATAGATTATAATCTCAGACCAATAGTCGCATTTCATCTCTCTCCCACAGCCCCGTTAGCTCAGTTTCTAGCTAAAATAATTATACCCATACTTAAAGATGGCGACGTCTCGACGTCCATATCTTCCACACCTAAATTCTTAAACCATATTCAGCATCTACCGGTTATCCCCAACAGTAATGATATCTTTTGATGTAATCAATCTATACCCTAGTCTCCCCCACCCCCTCATCATAGAATGCACCACAGAATTCCTCCGGATGCATGGTTACTCTGCAGATATGATAACTAAATTAACCTCCTTAATATCGATTTGTCTGAACAATAGTATTTTTAATTTCGATAAACGTTACTACAGGCAATCTAAAGGTACTCCTATGGG